TCCAAGATGCATCGCCGCCTCCCGTAGGTCTTCCAGTTGAAAATGCTCCGCCGCCTTTAAGATCTCCCATGCAGTCGCAGTCTCCGCATTCAACTCCTTCTTCAGGAGATCAAGACCTGGGCATCGCATGTGCCGAGGATTCAATCCTTATGACACCTAGTCGTCACCAGGATTCCACCAGTGAAGGTGGTTCGACCTCTTGATGCATGGGTGAGGCCGTAGTTGCAGGGTCTTGCATACCTTTTGAGCCTGAGGGAAACATATTAAACCCTTCCAGCTGGTTTTGAAGCGGCAAACCCATTCACCCCATGAACCCATGACCGCCTCTTCAACCAGAATGTCCCTCTTTGACACGGGTGGCTTCACAACCGAAAAAGGTCAGCTCACATAACGAGGTTCTCTTTTTCCTGACGAAACCACATGCAGCCCTGCCCTACAGTTCGCAGTGCTTTAGATCAGCTGTTGAAGCTCAGACCGAATGTGTGAGTCATGCTTAATTATTCAGTTTGCAATCTTTATGCTAAACCATAATCCACAAACCGGGGGATCACAGTTTGGTCACTTGGAAGAACCATCTGGGTCAAAACCACATACTGCAGCCTGTGGGCCTTGGTTAGTTGAGGGCCAATCACAGTCCCATGAATGATCGTCAGTGCCAGGACACAGTGCATCGAGAGCTCTACTACCTGGTATTTCTCTGCGATGATCATCACTTCTGCCAGAGTTTCCAGTTCTGCATTCAAGGTTCCGGAATACAGAAAACCTTGGACTCTCTCATGGACATCAAACCAAACATGTTCTGAAGTTCTGCCATGGAATTTCCAGCATGGCATAGTCTGGCCAAACGCAACAAAAATGAACAAAACACCTTAAAACAGTCTCGGCAACGCAAGAACGCCTCCACTCCCTGCGGTGAGAAATCATGAATGACCTGGGCCCGTTGGTGTCAAGCCGGTCTATATGGTAACCAATGTGTCCACAATGCTGGCCAAATGACATGTACTAGCATGTCTTCCATCCAAAATAATTGGGCCTAACTTGCAAGCAACATTGCTTGGTAACTGTTCGACACGTGTCATGCTAGCAGCGGGCATGAGTAGCATTGGCATTGGGATTTCTGAATCCAAGTGTTAAATTTACCATACACAACAGCACCAAAGAACATGAATCTTAGGGTCGAGATGCATGAACTACCTGTGTTTGATTGTATCCTACTGTACAAAACCCCTTAGGAAATTCTTCAGACGACTCGAGGCAAAACAGGCGACAGTCGGCGACAAGCGAAAAAGTAAACATAAACAATAACATAAACAACTCCAAACGCCTGGTGGTGATCAACTGCTGGCCCGCTGACACCGTTTGCCCCCCACCATGGACCTCTCACCGACGTGGATGGACCGTTGACCAAGCGCGCGAGCGAGCCACAACTGGTCCTGTTGACTGCTCCTCGAACTCGTAGCCCATGATCTTCCGAAAGACCTCTGACCACGCGCACAGGATCTCAGCTGAGACCTGCAACGGACTGAGGGAAAGCCCACCCTCTGACCAGCAGCATAATAGGTCGGAGTCGAAGTGATCAGCTGAAAAAGAGCTTGGTCCATTGATTGACATACAGGTCGGTCTTTGTGTATCCAAAGATTTTAACAAACACCAGAAGTCAAACAGGGGTGTTTTTTAGGCCCTAAGTAAGTGGATAGTGAGCACCCTATCCTCCAATACGCACCCCTTTGTGACTCCTGGCATAGAATATTTGTTGATATTCATTGGACTTCAGATTTGTGTGTTGAATCAACAAAAGTTCAGGGATTCCACAGACAAGAACCTTAGCCAAACAGGATGAATTCCTTTTACTACCAATACTCTGGTTATAATTTGCCCCCCTAGAAAACTTTAAACAAGCCCTTGGGCCGGAAATTAGTCTGTTCCCTTCTTATGCTCTTATCTTGGGAAGCTTGCTGGATGACTCTGACCTCTACTTTGCACCTCCCGACCAATTCACCTGCCTAACACTCACAATACAAAGGCATTTATTGCAAAACCCTCTATTGGTGTTAAGTTGCTCTTCATCATCCTGTTGATTCATAATATTCTCAGCCGTATATTGTGGGCTTTGTTGTATAGGTATAGCCCACGATATTGACTGAACGCATTGATGAACAACGAGCTGGGCTCCTACGTTCTTCTGACCATCCCAAAGGAGGGCTGGGTATATGGCATGCCCCAAGGCTTGGCGTGGGGTCATGTCCGTTCCTCCCACAATACATTGTATCAAAGGAATCACCATCTCCAGATTCCCAAATAGTGATGAGAAACATAGACCATGATGACCATATAAAGAATCGGATCAGTGCAGGGGAAGTTTCTTGGTTGAAACACTTGATTTGTGCCCTTGCCATGTTCCAAGAACTGAGGTGCAGCAACACGTCGTGTACAGCCAGTCCAAAATCCTTCTCCACCTCGCCTTGAACTCGCTGCGGTACCAACGATCTGAGTGACCTTCCACCACCACCGTGAAGCTGCCGAACGAGCGTCCGCTTCGGACGCCGCGAGCCTGTCCGCCACCTGGGCTGGTCAGAAAAGTACCAAAGAAGGAAGGACTTGTAGGTAAGACTCGGTCTGTTGAGAAAGACTCGGTCTGTTGGATGAAAAACAATCGGAGATATCTCTATAATTGATGGTTGGTTAGAGCATAGAGAGAGGGTTGGAAAGAAATGGACAAATGGTTTGCACGAGTACTATATGGTTTGTACGACTTGAGGACCAAGTCAGATTCGATTCAACTCATGAGCTCCTCAAAACTTGAGAATCAGGTCTATGACATTTCAAATGCCAGGTCCCAACATGCTTGTGACTTGAGAAACTCTAAAACGAAAACTCCAAAATGTGTAGCTCGATGGGCACAAGATCGGAGTGGGATGTGTGATGTGTCTCTCACTTTGCAGGGAAAAATCAATGATGTTGACGATAGCAGTTAGAAGGGGTAGAGTACACACCCTTCAGATCAACATAGACTCCGAAAACTTCACGTGTCAGAAACCATCTGTCGTCACGCATCGATGTGTCGATTCAGGACGTCCTTTGACCGACCCCCCCGAGCAACGACCATTCGACCTGGTGGAAGTACGTACTGACTCACCTCCGGCCACGACCGTCCTCAGCAGGTGGACCCGAAGTCGGGGGAGTTCTTTCCTGGACCCGTTGTGGTGGACAACGACAACTCCCTAGGGCTCCAACCATCTCCTGAGAAGGTGGTTGGGGTGGGTTTTGGGGGTCTAACCACCTTCTGAGGAGATGGTTGGAGCCCTAGGGACTCAACGGCACTGAGTCCGTGTCGCATGCGACGCCCTCTACCTTCCCTCCCTCTGTCGGACGGTGTCATACCCCGTGTCTGCGAGTCTGCGACCCCGGTGAGCGACATGGCGAAGCAAGACTCCCGATGAGCCGAGCCGGTGCTCTGTTCAACATCGATCCACACACATCGATCTGTTCACCGTCCAAACAACGCCAAACATTCTCGATGTTGTAGTATGTTGGGGTTGTAGTATGTTAACTTAGTATGTTTGTTGTAATTCCATTTTGGGGTTGTAGATATGTTGTAGTCAAGATGCCCCCTTATCCGTCCATTTGACCTGTCGGTTTTTCCGTCTGCATGGTCTCTGCTGATCGTTGTTCAATACGCCGTCTCGCTCCAGTCGCTCCTTCCCAGTCGCTCCGTCGCTCATTCCCTTCGTTGCTTTACCTATTGCTTGTTTTGGGGGGCTTCGGTCCCAGTCGCCCATTCCTTCTTCGTCTCATCCTGCACCATGGCAACAAAGGCCGCTCGGCGCGGCCCGGGCGCGGCGCGGGCGCGGGCGCGGCGGGCGCGGCGGGCGAGGCGACGCCACGCGCGGAACCGCTGGAGCCAACGACGGGAACCGGAGGGTGGAGATCAGATTGTACCCAAGCATCTAAGTGGTTGATGGTTTCAAGTGAAACCATAGAATTTGGATGAAATGGGTCAATTTTTAGATGAACAATCTCAGTTAGAATCTTCTATATTCATGGTTGTTTCTAGCACCAGAGTGACCCTTGTTGACCAATCCCCCAATGGTGAGGCCATAGCTGTCTATAAAGGCCATAAAAGGCTGAGCTGGGTTCCAGTGCCTCCTTGCAAGGATCTTCCCTCACGTGGACTCCCCAGAAGGCAAGATTGCATTCTTACGGCACGGAGACTGGTCCCACAGAACCGGCGAGTTTGAAGTAGGAATGGACATGAACACATGGGGGGGAAGCAATCTTGCACCTGTCCACAATAATGGCAGGAGTGCACTGATCTCAACCAAATGAATTGATCCATGAAATATGTGCATCGGCAAACAAACATCCACACTCCCTGAAGTCAATCATGGTTATTGGTTAAGTGAGTCACGTGGATGGCCTGGCCCCCTACCAAGCACGACCATTTTCCGAACACCAAACAGATGGCGCCATTCACAGATACCCGGACAAGTCGATGAGCTTACTGGAGTTGGTCATACAGATACAAAAAACACTGTTTAAGGATGTAAAACTGGGCCAGACTGAGCCAAACTGAGCAAGTACATCACACCTCCCAGGCGCAAAGGCTGCCTGGGGCAGCCCTCCCGAGAATTCATATACAATCTATATGGATCGATAGTAGTTCCAGCAATCGGCTATTTATGTATGTCCGTTCTGTTCCCCATAAAATCAACATTCATCAGCATTCCAACACTTCCACCCAAAAGGTGCGAGTTCTGAAGCTTCTGGAGGAACAGAAGCGCACATGATGACTTGCCATGAGCCTTGGGTTTATCCCAACCTCGCAGGGACCAGTGGAAGATGAAGGTCAGGATGCAGGCCGACATCTCACAAAGAGTGATATACGAGTTTTTCAAGCTGTAAATTTCATAATGGAACAGACCCTACATGACGAGCCCTTAAAGGGGATCACTTTGCACTGGAACCTCCCAAAAGACCATCGCAAGCGAATTCCCCCACGCCTGCTGCGCAGGAACACCTGCCAATGTTTGGCACGCGCTCTGTTTGAGCATTGATGATGAAACAAATGGGTTCTTTGGTTTTAGCTATAGATTTGTAGCGGACAGAACGCAGGCTGCCCGCAAAGCAATGCTTTTCCGGCTATGGCGGATAGCGTAGCGCAGTTTATGGCTGTCAGGCCTTTTGAGAAAAGCAGCGGGGAAATTCATGCTGCACTCATGCCTGCACGGATTCCATGAAGCTCATGCCCTTTCACAGCGACTTCTCCTTTCTTTGTTCATGGGAAGCCGAAAATACTGTGACCAAAATGCGGGCAGGCTGTCCAAGCAACGCTTGCTTGTTCGACAAATCGGACATCTTCACACGGTCCTCCAGGACTCGCCAACAGGAGATTCCTGAATCCAAATCGTATCTGGCATACGTTGTCCTGAGGGGAAATTGGTTAATTAAGTATCTCCCACTGGGGTTCCTAAAGGACCTGGCATTGTGGGCAACATGAGTCACAACACCATCTTTGTGGTGCCAACCCGGGCTCTCAGACAGCTGCTGGAGGAAGGCCGCAATCGGCAAGGACACGTCCAGCGGCTCACCATCAAGAGCATTTGCAGTTGCACTCAGAGGAAGCTGCTTCTTTCCAGACTTGCCTTGCTTCACATACTCCTGGTTGTAGGTGTAGCACCAGCGTCCAGCTGCAAGGATGCGATGGAGGTAGCTCTCATCCATATCCTTCGTGCCGCAGTCAACAAACATGTTGTCTGTACTTGTCCACTTCAAGGATGTAGCTGCTCGAGCTAAAGTGGCACGCACCCAACCAATGGTGAATCCCAAGGACTTCTGGGCTCCATAGGTAGCCGTGTCTGAATTCCCTTTGTCGTACAGGTCTTTGGCATCGGTGATCTGCACGAGCGGGATGGAGTCCAGCACCTCATCGGGCATCTTGCCATCATTGCCATGGATGGGAAATCCTTTGAACATTGCAAGCAGCCCTCTGCAGAACATTCCTGCATCAAGTCCTTCTTCTGCTCCAAGGAGTTCGGCTGCGAATGTCGAGCGGCAAACTCTGCTCAATCGATGGCTGCGGGAGTCCAAGACACAGAAGCTGCCCTCGCGTCCAGCAAGCAAATCGCTGTCAGCCACGAGCACATAGTAGCAGCTTTGGGAGTAAATCTTCTCCAACACGCTGCCATGGTCCACACCTTCCTTGGTCACATTGCCAAGCGACGAGTCGGTCACAACCATGATGCCACACCTGTCCAACCGAAGTGGTCGGAACCTGAGCTCGAACTGGGAGTGCTTCTTGAAGCGCTTGAGAAGCGCGTTGGCCTTCATCAACGTCATGATGACAGGCTTTTCACCCTGCAACACGCTGAGGTGGTAGGCAAGGTCGAACCGCAGCTGAGCCACCAGCCACTGAAGGCTTCCAAGGATCGCCCTGAGTTGACGGCGTTCACCATCATTCAACTCTGAGGCAGCCTGAGCTCTGCGATGCACAGGGATCGCCACGGGCTTGAGGTTGGAGTGGTACTCAACCATAGAGATAGAGATGGAAATTGATCCATCCTCTTCATGCTGTCGGATCCTCTTGCCACAGTAGGTGAAGTCGTCATACTCCACACTTCCAAAGCCAAGAAGCTTGCCCAAATCTTGCAGCAATGCTTGAGCTCGAGGTCCTCCTCCTAGAAGAAGATCATCAACGTGAGAGATGATCACTCCATCCAGAGTGGTCTTGTCGTTGGACCACAAAAGCCAACAAGCATAGTCCAATGAGGACCTCTCCCAACCTTGTTCCAGCAGGGCACGGTTGAGGCGCAAGTACCATTGACGAGGGGCATCTGCAAGACCAAAAACTCCTTTCCTGATCTTCACCAGTGCACGGCCAAAAGGAAGGCCTGGAGCATCAGAGGTTTCGCTGTCCTTCATATTCTCCATGTAGAGCTCTCTGTCTCCAGCCATGTAGGGATCACCCTTCAAGAAGGCGCTCTTGACATCAGCGCTGACTAGGCGCCAAGCATTCTTCTCACCCTTGACGGCCTTGTTGTTGCTGGCTGTCAAAATGAAGAGCATGTGTTGGCTGAGGCGAGAACCAGTAGGAGCATCTTTGCGAATGGCAAAGGAAAGGACATCTCGAAAACCAGGAACCACCACGCGAGCTCGAGCCTTGAGCGGTAGAGGTCGCTCAGCAGTACGGAGTCCACTGTGCTTGTCTGTGAACACAAAGCGAGGCGTCAGAATCTTCCCCACTTCTTTGTTCATTCGAAGCCTGCTGCGAATCGCCTCAGACTCGGGGATCGAGAGAACCTCCACGGCCTGGTTGTCTTCCCAAACCTGCCATGCATCCTTGGCCGCAATGTGGAAGGCCTTCTTCTCTTCGGGCGTCATGTTCTTCCAAAACAGCTCTTTGTGCGCAGCACTGGCCAACATCACCTCAGTTTCTGTAGACCCATTAGGCCAAGACCAACCAAGCTTGTGATGCAGCTGCCATTCCGAACGGGAAGGGAGGTGCCAACGTCCACCCCAAGAGCCATGATCTTGTACTGCTGCATCAAGAGGTTGTAGTTTATCTTTCTCAGCCAATGCCGCTATTACACGCAGTGGATGCTCCGTGGGATCATTGAACTGCTTCATCAAATCTTCTCCAGCCTTCTCACATGCCTCAGACTTCTCGCAAGCCACTGTCATAGACTCATGAGCGGCAGAAGGGGCGGAAGGACGAGAACGTGCTTCATCGGCCAACTCTTCTGTGCCAACTTCAGCAGGGCGCTTCACGCCACCAAGTTCTTCACTGGCTTCACGAGCTTGGGCAATCTGACGAGCCAAAATGCTTCCAGTGCCAGCGCGCCTAATCAACTCAGGCACAGGTGAACCAGGGACAGGTCCAGACACATCGCTCATTCTCCTCGAAGGCAAAACAGAGTCACCAACCACCGAAGGTAGAGGAGGAGCTTGTTGAGCAACTTGAACCAACTCTCGAGGTTGCACAGGGGGCAAATCAGCACCTGGCTCAGGAGCAATTGGAGCCATCGGAGGTCGAAGCGCCGGAGTCATAGGAACAGGTACATCACCTTCTTGAGGGTCCTCTGGAACAGGCGGCAATGCCTCTGGAAGGCCTCGCAACGTCAGGTCATGCTGTGCTGCTTCAACCACTTCCTCAATAGCATCTCTCCAGCTTCCAGCGGCAATCTGTTCAAGGCCACTGGCAACACGAACATGCTCCATTGCAGCTTTTGTCAATTGGCCCTTGTAGGACAAAAATGCACTGCTATGGCCTTCTGTAGCCACCAAAAGAGCAGGGCCATGCCATCGTTTGAGCGTGAGCCTCTTGCGACTAGGGCTGGTCTTGTTGTTGAAGCGCAACGGACGATAGAAGTAGCATATCGTGCCAGGAGTAGGAACTTGCTCCAATGTAGAGCTGCGGCTCCGTGCGAGTTCTGCACGACGAAGTCCTTTGCTATGGTGCAGCCTCATCATAGCCACCTTGGCTGTCTCTCGGAGCGCCACAAGTCGAGCATGCTGCGTCCGGCCATCAATGAGGGAGTGCTCAGCCAACCGAGATTCGATGCTGCCCAAAGTGTCACCAACCATACGTGGCTGTCGGCCGAACACGGCCTGGTAGGGAGAGAAGCCGCTGTCATTCACGTCCTGGTTGTAAGCAGCCAGGGCTTCAGACAAAGCTTGCTGTAGTTCTTCTTCTCCAATCACTGAATGAGCTTTCACCACGGCAGTGAGGATCGCCTTCAGGGCACTTCCTGATCTCTCTGCGACACCGTTTTGCCAAGGTGCCTGTACGGCAATGTGGTGCAACATCGTGGAAACTGAGCTTGCCCATTCTTCCATCTCCCAACTTACAAATTCTCTGCCCTGGTCTGCCACCAAAACACGCGGTGCTCCAAACATGGCCACCCACCTGGAAGACAGGAAGTTGATCACCGCTTTGGAGGACTTGTTGGGCAAAACTTCAGCCACCTGGAACCTGGTTGCAAAGTCCGTGGCATGGGCGATGTAGAAACGCCTTTCAGCACAGTCCTCCATCTCGATCAAGTCAACGTGTACCTGATCGGACACATCTTTTGGAGTCGGCAGCGCTGCAGGACGTCTTGTCTTGGGTTGAGCACGCTCTTGACAAAGCGAGCACTTGTGAGATTTTGCAGCAGCAATGGCCTCCACAGGGGCTCCAGCAACAGCTAGGGCTCTGGCCAACCGTTTGTTGCTTCGATGGCCAGTGTTTTCATGCAGCCGCTTGATGGCGTTCTTCAATGAAGGAGTGATCTTCAAGCTTGGATCAACTGGGCCATCAAGTTCTTCATCTTCAGAAATCACCTCTTCTCCCAAGGCCAACAGGCCATCACCAGCACCATCCTCCTCATCTCCCACCTGAGCTGCCATCGTCTCATTGGGCTGGAAGTCCAAGTCGAACTGCTCCATGATTCCAGAAACCAAGGCGCGTGCCAAAGGCTTCGGGTAGATGCCCGCATGGGCGGTGATCTTGGAGCCGCCAAGAACAGGAGCATGGCTGTGGTCACGCTTGCAACGGAGGCCATGCAACAAAGCAATCACTCTTGGGCTTGAACTCACCATTTGAGTCGGCTTCTTGTGCAACTCACCTAGGAGGCTGCGAAGGTTGAACCGGCATTGGTCGAAGGTGGCAATTTCCACATTGTTCTCTTCAATGAACTTCTGCATGGGCAATGTCTTCCATGCCAAACTGGGAAGAGGATTCTCCATCACAAAGTGCCGACCTCCTGCCATCTGGTGCTTTGCCACTTCTATGGCAAATTCCATCAACACCATTCCATCCGCTCTCCTCTGGTCCAAGGTTGCATTGCCCTTGGCATTCAAAAACTGGAGCGGGCTCCATGGTCCACAGGGAAAGGCCAACACCACGCAGTAGGGTTTTTCCTCATCCAGCACTTGAAGGGCTCGATGTCGATGTTCAGCGAGCAAGAAGTTCCAGCCATTTTCCAAAGACATAGCGGAACCCACCTTGTGTCCTCTTCTCTCAGCTTCTTTCATCACATTCTG